TGTTATTAAGGAAGTGAATGATACATGCTTCAAAATAGTATGTTGTTGTTATGTGCCATTGAGTCACCTGTGATACATAGTGACCCTATTTACAGCATCTCTGAACCCTTCCCTGTTCTGAGACAGTCTCACTAATTCTCACATACCCCATTGCCCTAGTCACTGTATCATTCCATCTCATCTCATCCTGCGCTGTCCATCCACCTTTCGAGCTTGATGTCCTTATCCAAGGACTGATCTCTCTTGGCCACATGCCCAAAGTAGGTGAGATGCAGCATCAAAATCTTAGCCTCCAAGGAGAGACTTGTTTTCACCTCTCCAAGATAGACCTACTTGTTTTCTTGGCAGTCCATTGTATGTTCAAGACTCTTCTCCTGCACCGCCACTTGAAGGCATTTATTCTTCTGTCAGCCTTACCCCATTGTCCAACTCTCTGAGGCATAACAAGTATTTGAGAAGACCATGGCCTGGATTAGGTGCACCTTTGTATTTACAGTGACATCGTTGCTCTTCAGCACTCAGGAGAAGTCCACAGCAGCAGATTTTCCCAGTGCACTTTGTCTTTTGACTTCCTGACTGCTGATAAAAGTGTTGATTGTGGATCCGAGCAAGCTGTATTGCTAACAACCTCAGTTTCTTCTCCATCTATTTATGGTGCTGCCAATTGGCCCAGTGGGGAGAGTCTTTGAAGACTATAGTACTTAACCTTTTGTAGCAAGTGCTTTGGGTCATCTTCAGTTTCGGCAAGCAAGGTTGTGTCATGTGCATACCGTGGGTTGTTAATGAGTCTTCCTCCAATCTTGAATTGACTCTTGTCATTAAAAAATATTCTTCCTTAAAAAAAATATTCTTCCTCTCTAGTAATATTTTTTCTTGAGTAGTGGAAGTCGGTTCTGACTCAAGGATAGGGTCTTTTGGTTAGAATTCACATATGTCTTTTTCTGATCTTTTAATATTTCAGTGTTTTATATTAAGATACCTTTGCAGGCAGCATAGTGTTGGGCTTTGTTTTCTGCTTTTGTTCATCTGGCATATTTTTCTTTATTTAATTACTGTTTTCTTTACTTGCTTATCAATAATGTGGCGTTCAGTAGTCTCATTGCCATTATCCTATTATACCATTTTTTACACCTTAGCATCTAGCTTAAATAATATATTTTTACTATTTCCTAGATAATGTATAGATTCTTCAACATTTTTTATTCTTTATATGCCTATTTGTCAAGAATTTTTATTTGGTGCCCTAGTGGCAAGAAGCTACACTGCAATCCTGAAGGCACATGGTTCGAGGGCACCAGCTGCTCAATTGGAGAAGGATGGGCAATCTCTTCTCATGCGATTAACTGCCTCCGAAAACCTGCCAGAGGGTCAGCTATTGGTCTGCCTCTACTCTACGATAAATAACAACTCAGTATATGTGTATATATATATATATATATATATATGTGTGTGTGTATATATATATATTATTATGTAATGTTCTTTTTACACACACACACACACATATGCACACATAAAAATTGTTATTAAATTTCATCTAGGCTGTTTTCTGCATTTAAGAAACAACATAATTTCTATAATCTCATTATATGCAGTTATCTAGGTTATGCCAGCTTCGTAAAACAAGTTAGGCAGTGTTCTTTTTGTCATTAAAGAGTTTAAAGTTGGTTATTTCTAATTCACATGGGTTTCATTTTCTTTTTGTACTTGTTTGTAATTACAGATGCCATTTCTTAACAGATGTAACACTATTCAAATTTTCAAATTATTTTCTTCAGATAATAACTTGTCAGATATGACAAGTTGTATTTTATAAGGATTTTGTCAGTTTCAACTAAATTTTCAAAGTTACTAGCATAAAGATTTACTTACCTCATTTATAATTTTTACTAATAGAAATTGATACTTCTTTCTTTTTACTTGTTCTTGCTTTTAGAGTCTCATCAATTTTATTACTTGTCTTTTCAGTGATTTTTTTCCCTTAGGGATTTTTATTTCTTTTCTGCTTATTTTTTTATTTCACTGATTTCTACATTTTTAACTTATTATTTCCGTACTTACAGTTTAGCTTCTTATAGTGACTACTACTTGTGGTTCTTGGGTTTTGGTTGGGGTTGGGGCAGAGAGTTATTTTTTAGCGCCTCTCCTGCTTATAACACATACATATATAAGACTTTACAATTTAAGCACACCTTTACTCAAATGTACATGATGTGTAATATTTTTAATTTTTTATCTCTTTTCATGGAACAGTTCAAACATACTAAAATAAAATGAATATGCTATATTAACAGTTCTGATTGGCAAAATGATACTCTATATTATTTCAAACTTTGATTTTGAAGTCCTGATCATTTTTTTATTATAGTCAGGATGTATACATTTAGTCATTGGGATTTTTTTTTCCTTTTTGATATTTTAGTTATTTTTCCATTACCTTTGTTGTTGGCCAATTTATATTCAAATCTTCTATGATTGTGGTTGCTTATTTTGCTGTTTATTTAATCTGCTTATTAATAACTGAGCAAAGTTGTGTTTCAGAATCTCCTGCTGTAATCATGGAATTGTCTCCTTTTAGTCATCAACTATTTGCTTTATGTATTTGGAGCCTGTGTTAAAAAAATTGTTTATAATTTTAGCGTCATTGTTGATTGCCTTTGGATTGAGCATGACTCATAGTGACCCT